AACATGGGAATAGAGCAGCTGCCAGAGAATTCAACATTAATGAATCAATGGTACAGAAGTGGAGGAAGCAAGAAGAATGAGTTTAATAAAGTTTGATTTATCTGACTGTTTTGTTTTTCTTAATGTGCCTTATAATCCCGTGCACCTTATGGTCCGAAAAATGCGTACTGCACACCGCAGTTTAATGTTGCAAAGCACCTCTTTTTAACTTCAGTGGATATTATACATGGTTATGCTCAGGATATGTCAGCCCATTTCTACTGGAAATGCCTTTTGGTTAAACTTTCAGCAAGGAATTTGCATTTGCACTGTTACATTTTTATAAAGCTTTAATGTACATAAAAACCAGCTTCTTGTTTACGTGAAAATAAATGGAAGGTTGTCTTTTTGCGCTAGTAATGTTGTGGAGTTGTATTTTGTCTCGCATCAATTATATCGTCAGTTATATCGTTATCGCAAATTTTCAAATATATATCGTGATAAATATTTTTGGCCATATCGCCCTGCTCTAATTCCAGTATCACACCATTATGTTACATTCTTCACACTTTCTGTCCTAAACATTCCTCTTAGTCACATTTCTTTCAGTCTTCTGCAGTTTCTTTCTCTTCCTTTCCCATAGACGCCTAAGAGCAGACAGTAAATGTCACAAGCTACCACTGCCTCCCCACATGGAGCCAAGCTGGCCTAGTTAGGGTTGCTGACTCCCTGCTAGTTTGTCTAGAGGAGGGAGTGGGCTACTTTTAGGAGTGTCCTTACTTCACTCTGCTCTGCAAATACTACTTAGTTGAAAATCCATCTCCAGCACATGATAGCAACACGTCAAAAATAAAGAAAAATCCAGGGGAAAGAATATCAAAAGAAGTAAAGGAAGGCTTACTTGAAAAGCCCTTCATGGAATAGCATTGGGATTTTTTCACATAAGCCCTCACTCGGCAAAGCCACACATTGAATTCAGTACATTGCTCAAGGGGGAAACAGGCGGTATTCGTAGCCACCGTCCACATCCACATTACCCAATAATAATAATACCACAGGCTTTGGCTTTGAACTGAATCCTTTCACTTCTCTTTCATGCTCTCAGGCGAAAAGTTCTCAAACTCCTTTTAAAGCACAGGACATCGTGCTTTTTGAATTTGTCCAGAGCAGCACGAACAAAGATACTGCGGTCATTGTGCTGACAAGTAAATGAATAAAAATTCAAAAGAAGAACTTGTCGAACCCTTCACTTCTCTAAGGAGCTCATAGAATCCCTGTAGATAAGCATGTTGCTTGGGGCCAACATGTTGCAAGTTAAGCAGGCACGCAAAGCAAATCATATTTTCACAGTATTAGGTTAAAGATGTTCAAACATGTATAATGAACAGATTCTACTTGCATAAATCTGTGTCTAAGTATAAAGTAAAAACCTGGAACATGCTTGATCGAGCTACTAACATTAATGTCCTACAAAGTCAAATAAAAGTATACAGACAGCATGTATTGATGTTTGATTCTACCTAAATCCAAACTCTATATTGTAACAACAATCTGATCAGTGGATAAAGTCAGGATGTAGATGAGCTTCTTGAAGACGATGACAGTGATGAGACTCACCAATGCGGTTCCCTGGAGGCCGGCATGAGTCGAGCACTCGAAGCATACGGAAAGGTGACAGCCTCAGTGGGGTGTCTCTCTCCACCATTCTTACCCCCTCTCCTGTTCTAACCTCCCCCGTTTTAAGGTCTCCGACTCTGGGAACACGGGCAGAGCATCCTTGCAGATTGTCTGCCATATCCATTGCTCCAGTGGGTTTAAAGCACTAACATTTGAAGGTGCATTTAATAATGCAAATAAACATTTCATTAAAAAAAATCCACTTCAGTTAAGTCCTGGAGCCCAATCAAACCGTGTAGGTGGCACCCAGGTTTGAGTAGCAGTAGCTGATTAAGGATCCAAGCTTCCTGGGAAAAACCCAATCCTTAGGCTACCTCTGTACTGCCAGAAGAGCCCCATGCAGTAAAGAACAGGTCTGACATTATAGGAATTGTGCAGACTGCACAGGCACACTAATCAAAATCCAACAACTCCCTCGGCTGCTACTCCACTTTAACACACTCTCCCTCTTCCTGTGTGTTTTTCTTAGCAGACGTTCCTTCTCTCCTCCCTCTCCTTTCTTTTTCCTCTCTGCAGTCGCTCTCTGCGTGCTGACTAAGGAAGGTCAAACACTGTGCAGGTATGCAAAATGCTGCAGAGACGGTCCAACACGTGCAAGCTAGAAACTGTTACAATCTGCCATCTCAGAATAACAGGTGTTCTGTCATCATCTGCCTTCGTCCGGACACAAGCCCGCAAACAAGGACTGTGTGCAAGGACTCACAACGCACTTAACTTGCAGCTCCTAGCAAGGAAAACACAGCCAGACCTTCCCTTTGCTTCTGTCCTTTGTAACTTCTTCAT